ACTGTCTTATATTTCACTTATTATTTCTGTAAGACTGATCCTATCGTTTTCATCTTGGCCAGTTCAGATCTTACCTCAGACTTCAGCTTCGCAAATATTTCCAGGTTTTTTGCGCATTTTGGTTTCACCTCTTTGGACGTGGAAGATTTCTCCATTGTATTCTTTCCCTCTTTGAAGGATTTTTCTTTATAATGAGCATTCCCTGTTTCGATTTTAAGCATCCTGCCGAAGATCACTTTTTTGTCCTGTTATGTATTATTTTAGACATACTTGCCATCTCGATGATGCTTCTTTTCGTTTCATTTTTTTTTGATCTCCGAACTTTTAATTGAGTTATTCATCTTTTGCTAGTCATGTTTATCTTGTTTATGTTTAATACGGCTTGCTTTTATCATGTCAAGAATTTAATCTGTAATGCAATTTTATTGTCTCTCTATGGGATTATCTCGTTTATATAGCTTCACCTAAAGTATTCCAGTTTTCACTTCTGACCTCATCTATGCCATCCAATGTGCTCTCAACTGTCAACGTACACCTGCATGTTTAACCGCCCAAGAGTCGACTCTCTGGGAGTTGATTAGAATTTCTTTAATTTTTTATAATTTATTCTGAGATAGTATTAGGAAGTTCACTCGGTTCGAATAAATTTCAAAGTGTAGACATGCATTCCAGAGTATTTTATTAGTTGTTATATAGCCGATCTAGTTCTTTGAGTCTCCTCTTGAGCTTTTTGTCCACAAGCATTTTGGTTGTTCTTGAAACCAATGTGTTAGTTATTATTTAGTCGTTTGCTGTGCACCACTGATCCCGTTGTTGTTCTCTCTCGATTCGGGATCCTAATCAATACTCAGGCGATATACATTGAACCTTGGTGTTATCCATTTCTTCTTCCGTGCTTTGTCGCATATACTACTATAATGGATCTATTCTGTCAGGCAGTTGACAATATCCCAAGACACATTTTTCATATCTTTATCTAGTACGAGTCCTACTCCTCTTGCATTTTTCTCTGTGACTACGTGTATGATCTGTTCATTGCTTACGAAATTCTCGTTATTTGCTTACCTAATTTCAAATGTTCCGAGAATGTTAATGTTTAACTTGTTCATCTGGCCCTGTTTATTCTAAGTCCTGATTACGGTTACTTGTCTGTTGTAAACAGTGGCTGGATGACAACTCTTCTAACCGGGCGTTGGGTAGGTACCAAGGAAGTTTGCCTCCATAATGCTGTTATATATATTAATTTTTTTAGAAAACCAGGATTTGTTTTGCGAATTACAGTGGAGTGATTTCTTGTCATCTTCTCCACGATGATTTTACGGAAACGGCGCTGCTAGATAGCTGGTCGTTGACACAGAAGTCTCTCGTCTTTTGATGGATTTTATTGAAGTCATATAGGGGCGCTAACCACTCACTTTGCACCCTACGGACAGAGAGCGAGGAGCTGGTTCAGTCGTCCAGAAGACAAAAAGATATGGTTTCAAATATTAACTTTTACTTCAAATTAAAACTTAGAAATCAAATATTTCATGTTTATTTAATTAATGCTTTGCTTATGAATGTATGTCCATTGGCGAGGGAGGATTCTTCTTTGAAGACAAAAGAATGAAATAAAATGCTAAGGTTTATAGACATGACGTTAATTAGAAACATTACCAAAAAGTATGTGCATTGTTTTCGCTAAGAATTTTTTGATGAAATGAAGAGCATAAATGGGCCAATAAATGCATTAATACATCATTCGTCAACTACTTTGTGATAAGATCTATTCTCACTAAGGACGACAGATATTTTATATAAATATTTGTATTGTTTTATTGTATAACTCTAGGAGACGATAATGAGATTTTTTTGTATAGCTCTATGGGCGGGTAGTGGGTCGTTATTTTTTGTATAGCACTATGGGCGGAGAGTGGGTCGTTATTTTTTGTATAGCACTATGGGCGGAGAGTGGGTTGTTATTTTTGTATAGCTCGATGAGAGGATAGTGGGTTGGTTTTTGTATAGTGCGGACAGTTGGTTTATATTATTTTTTGTAAAGCTCTATGAGTGGAGAGTGGGTTGTTATTTTTGTATAGCTCGATGAGAGGATAGTGGGTTGGTTTTTGTATAGTGCGGACAGTTGGTTTATATTATTTTTTGTAAAGCTCTATGAGTGGATAGTGAATTTTTTTATAGCTCTGTAGGCAGATAGTGTATTTTTTTTTTGTATAACGCGATGGGTGGACAGTCGGTTTGTGTTACTTTTGTAAAACTCCATGGACGGATAGTGAGTTGTTTTTATTTTTTTGTATAGCTCGATGGGCGAATAGTGGATTATTTTAGGTATAGCTCTATGGGCAAACAGTCGGTTTGTGTTAATTTTTGTAAAGCTCTATGGGAGGATAGTGGGTGTTTTTCTTTTTGTATAGCTGTTCGAGCGGATAGTGTTTTTTGTATATATATATATATATATTATATAAAGAAAGAAGAGTACGATATATAATCCGCTGTTCTTATAGATATTTTTATTTTTACAAAATAGTGCTCAATGTAAATTTACAGAGCATTAATATTATAAATTAATTTAAAATGTTTTTTTTCGCTACAGTTCTAACCATGTTTCAAAAATTGAAGCTAAAAGCCACGAATTTAATTTTGTGATTAAATTAAAGACATTAGTTTCATTTCATCCATTCTCAAGCGAATATTTATTATATATATATATATATATATATATATGCGGATAGCGTTTTTTTTTTTTTTTGTACAGTTCTCAGGGCGGATAGCTGTTTTTTGTCATTCTTTAACAATCATTAACCGCTTGCCTTTTAGTGGCTTTTACTTGTTAACAGTGAAATGATTTTTAAAAAATTGTATAGCTTTGTGTATGTTTTTTTTATTATCTTTATATTGGGATTTGAAACATGCATCATTTGTTTGAAAATTTCCTCAAATTCGTCATATTTTTGGGTCGCCTTATCAGTCATATTCAGCCAGATTATGCTTCCCATGCTCAAACAAATTACAGCGAAGCTGATGGAAACGTACCAGATTTATTCAAGCAAATATTTTTTCCAAAGACTCTCGAATCCATTTTCGCCCTGCAGTATTTACTAAAAGAAATAACCTTTACCTTTAAAGCGTGTTGGGAGGAGGAGGAGATTTCCTCCGAACACTACAAGGCAGAGACTTTCTGCCCGACAGGCTATTGACGTTTATGAGTCCTTCATTTCGCCGTGGAAGACATGGTGGCTGCACGGCAGCTGCCTTGCTGACCAGCGGCGCATGATAATCGAAAATAAGAAGCAATCTAAACCCCATATCTTCCTACGTCGATTCCAGGAGAATATCGGACTTTTATACCATTTCTGAAGACTTCTTCGCTACTCTGTTCACCCGGGGTCGTCTCGAAGGAGTCATGAGAGGCCTGTGAGATGAACAGTAATGTGTCCCCTACGGGATATTCATACATGTCTTACAGTCATAGATCAGAGTAAGCTCTCTCTCAACATCAGCGACCGGACCATAAATTACATTGAAATGCGATCAATTTTTCCCTTCTACGGAAGCCTTGAAGCACTACAATTTGCTCAGTTTAAAGGGAAACGTTTACACAAGATTACCGTGTGAAATTCTTTAACATTATTCTGCTCTTGATTTATGGAACTGGAGATCGTGAGGTGTAAGGTCCAAATCTAGGTGATCGGTAGATAAAGTTCGTTATTAAATTCAACAGAAGAAAAGGAGAAGATTGTGGGTGGGGGGATAAGGACAAAAATAGAAAATAAATGAAGGAGTGTCTGGGATAGAGAAGAGGAGAAAGGGGATTGATAGGTTAAGAATAAAAAGATGTGTGTAGGAAACAGTAGGAGATTAAGAGGAAAAGATGATAGAAAAAAAAACAGTAAAAGAGAAGCGAGGTATATTTAAAGGCAAAAAAGGAGAGAAAAAAAAAAAAAGGGAGTGAGGAGAAAAAAAAGAGAAAGAAAGGCGAGTGAGGAGAAAAAAAAAGAAAGGCGAGTGAGGAGAAAAAAAAAGAAAGGCGAGTGAGGAGAAAAAAAAGAAAGAAAAGAGGAGGAGGAGAAAAAAAAAAAAGAAAGGCGAGGAGGAGAAAAAAAAAAGAAAAGAAAAGGGAGGAGGAGGAGAAAAAAAGAAAAAAAAGAGGAGGGCAAAAAGGAGTGAGGAAAAAAAAGAGAAAGGCGAGTGAGGAAAAAAAAAAGAAAGGCGAGGAGGAAAAAAAAAAAAAGAAAGGGAGGAGGGAAAAAAAAAAGAAAAGGCGAGTGAGGAGAAAAAAAGAAAGGCGAGGAGGAAAAAAAAAAGAAAGGCGAGTGAGGAGAAAAAAAAAAAAAGAAAGGAAAGGAGGAAAAAAAAAAGAAAGGAGTGAGGAGAAAAAAAAAAGAAAAAGTGAGGAGAAAAAAAAGAAAGGCGAGTGAGGAGAAAAGAAAGGCGAGTGAGGAGAAAAGAAAGGCGAGTGAGGAGAAAAGAAAGGCGAGTGAGGAGAAAAGAAAGGCGAGTGAGGAGAAGAAAAAAAAGAAAGGCGAAAGGAGAAAAGGGGAGAGAAAAAGACAAAAAACAAACAGAGCAAAAGAGAAGCGAGCAACGCGGAAAAGAAAATAAGAGTGTGCGAGGGAGACTGGGCAAGAAAAAGAAAGCGAGGGAAAAAGATAATAAACAAGAAAGAAAGAAAGAAGCAGACGATGGAAAAAAAAAAAAAGAATGCAATAAAAATGGAAATCATTGCTTGTTGGATGATATTTGCCCGACAGTGTCCCTCGTCGTCGTTGGAATGGAAATATGAAAAGGTAAGATTTTTGAATGCTTATTTCTCTAGCAGTTTTCCCCTCCATTTTCCTGCTCTCATATATTAACAGTAAAATGATGAAAAAGTAAAGTTAAAGGAGATAACGAAGCGAAAAATGAAAGCATCGGCCTTGGGTGTTGCATGAAAAACGAACAGCATCAAAAGAAGAATAAATGAAAAACTAACGACGACGAATGAGTTTCATTTTGGAAAATTTTCATGAATTGTACGGATTCTGAGAGAAAAAAAATAAGAGGAGAAACAAAAAGAAAAAGGGAGAGAGAGAAAAGAGAGCAAAATTTAAACTGAAGCAAGAAAAAAAAAGAGATTGAGAGGAGAGAGAGATTGAAAAAGCGAGGAGAGAGAAAACAAGAAAGAAAGAAAGAGAGACGATTGAAAAAAAAAAAAAAGAAGCAATAAAAGAGAGAGAGATGATAGGAGTGTCCCTCGAGAGAGAAGAAATTGAAAAGGTAAGATTTTTGATGCTTAGAGAGTTTTTCCCTCCATTTTCCTTCTCATATATTGTAAAGATGGAGAGAGAGAGAGATTGAGAGGAGAGAGAGAGAGAGAGATAAATGACTAAGGAGAGAGAGAGAGAGATTGAGATATTTGAGAGAGAGAGATTGAGAGGAGAGAGAGAGAGAGAGATTGAGAGGAGAGAGAGAGATTGAGAGGAGAGAGAGAGATTGAGAGGAGAGAGAGAGATTGAGAGGAGAGAGAGAGATTGAGAGGAGAGAGAGAGATTGAGAGGAGAGAGAGAGAATGAAGAGAGAGAGAGAGAGATTGAGAGGAGAGAGAGATTGAGAGGAGAGAGAGAGATTGAGAGAGATTGAGAGGAGAGAGAGAGAGAGATTGAGAGAGATTGAGAGATTGAGAGAGATTGAGAGGAGAGAGAGAGATTGAGAGAGATTGAGAGGAGAGAGAGAGGAGAAAACGTAGAAAAGTGAATAAGAGAGTTAATGAGAAAAAGAGACAGAAAAAGAGAGGAAATAAGGGAGCGAGAGAGAGAGAGGAAGAAACTAGATGGGGACGAAGAAAAGGGAGAAGTTGTGATGCAAATAGAAGAGAAAAGATTATAGCAACGTGAGAGAAAATCTAAGAACTTAAGTAAAAGAGAGATAAAGAGAGCGAAGACGACGTGTAGAAAAATTAAATAAGAGAATGATCAAAATGGAGATAGAGAGAGAGAGAGTGAGTGTAGATGTAGAGTTGAGGGGGTGCAATCTTTTAGTCTAATATACATTTATTTTAAGCCTTTAGTCAATTCGTCACATCAAACCTCAACGCAAAATTCGTTCTCATTTAATAATTCGTTTTTTCCCTTCATTTAACCAATACTCTGTCACGAAAGAGACAGCAGTAAACGAATCCGAAACTATTAATTTTCGAAGACTTCGCGTGGAAATATGAGAAAACTGATTAATTTAATCGAAAAGGAAAAATGTCTGAAGAAAAAAATAATACAGAAACGCATAGAAATAAATTATACCTTTTGGGGCTAAAACATACATAAAAAAAAAAAACAAAAACAAACAAACAAAATAAACAAAACCAAAACCTAATCATAGTAACGCGAGATCTCGTCTGTATATTTTCATCATGCGTGACTTTGTAGGAGATGGAAATAAACAAAGAAAAATTCCTTTTATCTTTGTTTTTCACTGAAAATTGTGAATAAAGATCAGGAAAAGACTGGGATTTTTTTTCTTGTTGCTAAATAGGTAAATACTAAACGTTTTAGATATTTACCTGGTTTCTCTTCTGAAAGCCGATATGCAAGTAGCGTAACGGGGAAAAATGACAGGTTGAGTTCAAATATCGGACGTGTCTGTTGCGTTTAATTCCGCACAAATAACTTTTTTTTTTTTTTAAGCATTTCACCCCTGGTTCGCAGTAGGTGGGGAATGAGGAAAGGATAAAAGATGAAGAGGTTCAAGACATCAGAAAATGGCGATTGACGTTGCATTTAAATTTTTGAAGATTGTAGTTACCAGGGAAGAAAGTAAACGGAAGGGAATTCCACAGGCGGGAAGTTCGAGAAAAGAAGCTGTTGGCGTAGAAGAGGCGGTTACATTTAACTATTTAAACGGTAAAAAAGGTGAGACCTAGATGCCAGTCTAGTAGCACGCTTAAATTTATGTAGTCGCCGCACCAGGGGGAAAAATGCTCGACAGAACAGTAGCTATGGAAATATTTGTAGAAAAGACAGAGGGAAGCCTCATCACGTCTGTGAGAAAGTGACTGGAGTCGAAATACCAAATCAGGATTGATTACATTGAAGATCCTTCCATGGATTTTGTCGAGAACCTAAAGATGATTAACTGGGGCATCAGATCGTATAAATATATCTCTTTCCACCATATCATCTATAGGTTAAATAGCAAGATAAGATAGCGATTAGAATCAAAGAGAGAGTAACCGATCTTCCCTGGTATTTCCTGCTGTAGCTTAAAGGAATGTTTGAGTAGTAGTTCTTGGGCATAGTTTTCGTCTAGCAGTGAACAGTCGCGAAGTTATCGACAGACAGGAGTATTTGAAATCAATGCGCTGTAAAGTCATGTATTGTAGTTCTCAATGCTCAAATAAATAGTCCCACAAACTGAATATGGATAACATACTTTTCTGGAGAGATTGTGTGTATAATCTCCAGTCCACAGATAACAGAATTCATTAAATAAGGCGGGGTAATCAGAAGACTTGCAGCCATACAATCAGTACCCCTCCAGACAAGGAGATTATGCTGTCTATTATCGACCACACTAAGGTAGTAGAATTTCTATATTTGTTTAATTTTGACGTTCCCAATATGTAATTTAGATCTTGAACTGTCTGTTTCGCTCACCACTTCATGCAATTCGCGTTCATTCTGTTTTCTTACTAAACGAATATAGAATTTTGACTCTTACAAAAATGCTCTGTCACTTCAGGACCTAGGCGATCATGCATCTCCAGATTACTTCATTTAAATTACCATAACTTCTTGGGAAAGATGGCTGTCGTCTAAATGGTTTTAATTCACAGCATCTCCTAGACTGCCTGCCACCCCAAACCTATAGAATCCAGTCTATCCTGCAATTTAATCAATAGTGGGGAAAGGGACTGAGATGAATTCCTGACTTTCATGAGAGTATAAGCAAGAGAGTGACTAGGCGGGAATTCTCTTCAGGACTTTGACAATCATGACATTCTTTGTAGCTCTTCATGTTTACAATATTACTATCCCTCCCAATCACTATTCGGCCATCAATTTACAAGCTCATGCCCTATGGCTATGGAATCACTGGAAGTGATTCCTAACGAGTATATCCCTGAAGGTAGTTGTTAACGACCAGTCTTCCGGGGCCCTAGCAATCAACGCAGGCGTCACATCTCGGATCAACCCTCTTTTTAATTTACAGTGGGCTATGATAAGTTTTTCGCCACCCATGATTACAGCAATTTTAGCTTGTGTAATAACGTCTCGTTTTTTTCAGACAATACCGTGTTAGTATTAAGCTACTCTCATCTATGAACAATAGTTGACTTATATTTTGCAATGAAAGTTCGTGGAAGTAAGGAAATTAGTGAATTTCTGCGAGGGTAAATAATAAGATGGCATCAGTCTGGCAAGTCAAATAAAGAAATTATGTTTTTCCAGGTTAATTATCAAACGGTTAATAATATTGCCAAGACATTTAGTGAAGAAGGCCATTGTCGTGTGGAACAACGTTCAGGAAGGCCAAGCATCGTGTCTGAGCGAAGGAACAGGGCGCTGAAGGAGGAAGTCATCAGAAACCTTCGTCAGAGCATCAAAGATGTCGCCAACAGCATGGAAATGTCACCATATGCAGTGAGAAAGACCCTGAAAGAGTTAGGCTATCAAAGAAGAGTTGCAAGAAAGAAGCCCTTGATTTCATAGATTAACAGGAACAGGCGTATGGACTGGGCGAGAGAATTCGAGAGCAAAGATTAGGAATTTTGGCAGTATGTCATTTGGTCAGATGAAAGTAAATTCTGTCAATATTCGAATTCAAGATAGGTTTATATTTGGAGAAATCAGAATGAAACTTGGAACACTGAATGTCTGCAGGCGACCGTGAAACATGGAGGGATTGGATTAATAGTATGAGGCGCTGTCCGGTTTGGAGGGAAATCCGAGTTGATTCTTGTTGACGAGCGATTGAATGGTCCAAAATACTGTCAAATATTAGAAAAAGGACTACTACTATTTGAAACCAATCAGATTGACAAGAATGTCTACCTTTTTCAAGAAGATGAAGCGCCATGTCAGACGAGCAAAGCAGCAAAGGCCTGGAAGGAATCGCAAGGAATCAAATCACTGCCATGGGTGGCCCAAAGTCCTAACATGAATCCAATAGAGCACGTTTGGGAGCACCTTGACCGAAGACTTCAAGAGCGTGTAACCAAAATCACGTCAGTGGCAACCCTTAAAGAAACATTGCTAAGGAGTGGCAAAATATGGCTCTGACGATTGTTCATAACTTGACCAAATTCATAAAAAATCGAATACAATCACTGAAACTAGAAAATGGAGGACCTACTCTATACTAGTTTCAAATACTGTTTGTTTATGTTGAATAGGGATTACGTAATTAAATTTGGAAATTAGATGTAGTTTATTTCTCCTGGCTAAAGACTTTTCTTAGGTCACTGTACATAAATGTCTAAGTGTATAGTCAGATTATTTGTGAAGATCTATACCGATGATACAACGATATATGGGTGTACCTCTAAAAGTAAAGACCGACATCTGATCTCTCACCCGATCAAGCTCTAACGTCTCGGGGGTGGGAGCGAAAAAACTGATTACAGTTCATCATCGCCGATCGCACCCCGAACTATGGTTCACGTGTGCTACTTGGATGTAAATGGTCCGTTAATACAAAAAAAAAAAAACAAAAAAACAAAATGATAACAATGTTGGCAATAGGATTGATTATTAGACTTTCGACTAAATTGAAGCACAAAGACAAACATTTTAAAGACGGAATTTTCGGGCAAGACTGTGTCCTTTTTCAACGAAAAAGGAGAAAAAATACAGTGCGACTTACACTTCCGAGGATCCTTCTAACCAACAAAAACATTCTTCAGACGAATAAATCCTACTTTGTTTATTCCTAGTCTAGTTGAAAAAGAACACAGGCGTGTCCCAAAATTCCGATTTTAATATTTCTTCTCTTCGTGCCTCAGGTTAGTCAAAAGGCTAATATATAAGCAATATCAGCAATCTTTGTGTAAGACCTAGTGGAAATTTTTGTTGCAACATCATATTTCCTCCCCATACTAAGTTTGCGATAGACGATAGCAATATTGAAGACAGCTTTAATTCTGAGAATATGGAGTAAACTTGCTGCCACTTGATCTTAATTAAGATTGACAGGTTTTAAAGATAATTCATTATAAAGTAATAGAATTTTTCAGTGTATCTGACTCAAAATATAGACTTCATGGCTTAAGCATGTAGAGTTGAGTGAAGACATTCAATTAACGGAAGCCTTTAAAATGTCGAACGTTCATTAATGATTGGCAGAAACTGAGTATAAGAAGTAGGAGGGAATTTAAAAAAGTAAAATTAAACTATTCGTTACAAAAAGGCAACCTTATTATGAACAGACAGTCACAGGTAATTCGCTTCTTGGAGAAAATCCATTATCTGATAAATAACACACACACACATCTATCTGCATGTACACGTATCCGCGTATCACGTGTATGTGACGATATAAATATGTCTATGGAATTATTACTAATATCAAACCAATAAGCTAAGTAATAATAAACAGAAAAAAAACTACACTAGAAACAAGCAACAACCTCCGCAAAGATGAAGAAACCTGATATCTGTCCTCCTATATGGCAGCGAATGCTGGGCAGTCTGTTCAAATATGAAGAAGACATTAAAGAACAGAAACAAAGAAAAAACTACTGACATAATTTGTCCTCCTATATGGCAGTTAATACTAGACGGTCTCTTCAAATATGAAGAAGACTTGAAACAACAGAAACAAAGAAAAAACTACTGACATATTACGTGATATTTGTCCTCCTATATGGCAGTTAATACTAGACGGTCTCTTCAAATATGAAGAAGACTTGAAACAACAGAAACAAAGAAAAAACTACTGACATATTACGTGATATTTGTCCTCCTATATGGCAGTTAATACTGGACAGTCTCTTCAAATATGAAGAAGACTTGAAACAACAGAAACAAAGAAAAAACTACTGACATATTACATGATATTTGTCCTCCTATATTGCAGTTAATACTGGACAGTCTCCTCAAAGGAAATTGTGAAGGGCCATCACCGCCTTTGTTCTGAGGAGAGCTTTCACATAAATAAGAACTGTTTTGAGAGTATGAGCTTTAAGGAATTTTAAATATACTGTTCGTGGTGGGTAGGGTTATAATTAGACTAATTTGAATTGAGGATTAACATGCTATAGCTAGTAAACTCCGAAGACACTAGAGGC